CTCTCTCTCTGTTTCTCTCTCTCTGTTTCTCTCTCTCTCTCTCTCTCTCTCTCTTGTCCAAATATTCCCTACTCCTTTCTTCTCGCTCTCCTGTAGCTGGAGTCTTTGCATCCGCTATGTTCTGTTTTGCCCCTTAGCGCACTCGCCCACCACTCCCCCACCCCCATACAGGTGCCACCTGTGTCCTCAGCGCTGTTCCTTTCAAAGCGGAGGGGAAGGGTGGAAGCCCCCCTCTCCCGCCCCTTTGGCTTCTCCCATCTCTGAGCTTCAGGGAAGCGCAGTGAGGCTGCCACCTGGTGGCCACAGGGGAGCATGGCACAGGTGGGCCGAGGGGGCCTTCTCGGGCTGTCAGCAAGGTCATGGGTGCAAATGGGCTGGCCCCAAAGCAGTCAGGAGCTTGGGAGACAGAAGAACTGGAGTATGGGAGGTGCCTGAGAGAGACAGAGTGAGAAAGAAACAGAGAGAGAGAGAGAGAGACAGAGAGAGACAGAGACAGAGAGAGAGACAGAGACAGAGACAGAGAGAGACAGAGAGAGAGAGACAGAGAGAGAGACAGAGAGAGAGACAGAGACAGACAGAGACAGAGACAGAGACCGAGACAGAGAAAGACAGAGACAGAGACAGAGAAAGACAGAGACAGAGACGCTCCAAAGATTGGGTCGCTTTCTACAGTTGCTTCCAAGTACCCTCATGGGTGAAACTCTCTCTGTCACCCTCCATTGCACAGGATAATTCCCTGACGCTCAGGGAGGTCACAACCAAGGCGGCCCCCAGCCTTGACAGGAAGTCAGTCTGAGACGCTCACACTGTCGGCTTGTGTGGGCTGGGGATACTCACGGTCCCCAGGCCACCACTTGGTGGCTGTCAGTGTGGGACTATGCAACACGAACTCCTGAGTGGCTGCATCATAGGTGGCTTCAGTCTCCAGGCCCTGAAGATTTGTCCCTAGGAGTCAAGGAGGGGAGGGGAGGGGAGTGTTGTGAGACATGACACCAGCCGGGCTTGCTCAGGGGGCCGCATTTCACCAGGCTGAAAACACCAGGTGGGTGGGGCAGGGCCCTGTTTCCAGGTTACCTCCCTCTCCCTTCCTCTCTCCCTTCTTCCTCTCCTTCTCCTTCCTCCTCCCTCCCTGTATCTGTCTCTGTCTGTCTGTCTGTCTCCCTCTCTCTCTCTTCCCCTCCCTCCTTCTCCCTCTCTCCTTTTCCCTCCCTGTCCCTCTTTCTCTGTCTCTCTATGTCCCTCTCTCTCACCAGCAGCCTGTGTGGGGGGATGAGGAACGGCTGCTGGCCTCTCCAAAAGGAATAACCTGCCCCACCATCCTTGGGACCAGTGCCCTTTCTTTGAGCTCCCCGGCCCGCCTGCTGGAGTGTTTCTGCTCTGAGACGTGAGGCCTCCTGCTCACCGTGGCCCAGTTCCGTCTGGGCGTATGTGGTGATGATCTGAAACTGGGAGCACAATGGGCCCCACTTGGCGATCTGTTCCTCTGAGCCCAGGCTCTTGAGCGACTTCTGGAACACTTTGTGGATGTTGAAGGCCACGTCTCCAGCAAGGGCTCTGTGGAGTAGACAGAGATGGCTGGTGAGCAGCCCCGGGCGGGGTGTGTGGGGGCACACCTGGCGGCTTGGGGGTTTGGGGAGATGCCCGTGAACTCCTCTCTGGGGGAGGAGCGGCTGCGGGGGAACACACCTGTACGCGTATTTTAATTCCAGACCATCTTCCTGCCAGCCCAGGCGCTGTGCCAGCATCAGGACATGGAAGGCCTTCTGCACGGCCCCTTCATAGCGCTCATTCTGGGTCTTGAAATAATTGTCCTGTATGTTAAACTTCTGGTCGCTCTGGATCATGCGCTCTGCCAGGGACAGAAAGCAGAGGCCTCGGAGACCTGTGAAGTTCCTGGTGTCCCCACAGATCCCCACCCTGACAGGTGGCGGGGAAGGAAGGCTGCGAGCACTGTGCCCAGAGGAGGGCAAATGACTCGCCCCAAGTGGCTGGGCGCTGCAGAGCGAGAGTCAGGGCTGGCGCTGGGCCTCCTGCTCTGGGCTTGGAGGGTACCGACGTGAAAAGACACTTTTCCTGGTGAGGTGGGGGAGGTTTGAGCTATGCCTGGTTGGTGGTGCTAGACATTACTTCTGGCTCTGTGCTCAGGGGGGTTGTTCCATTTTTTTTTTCTTTTGCTTTTTGGGTCACACCCAGAGAGGCTCAGGGGTTACTCTGCACGGTGCTTGGGGGACCATAAAGGATGCCAGGGATTGAACCCAGGTCAGTCGCATGCAAGGCAAATGCCCTACCCACTATTGCTCCAGTCCTCAGGGGTTGTTCTTGGCCATGTTTGGGAGGACCGTGGGGTGCGGGGGATTAATCCTGGGTCGGCGGCATGCCAGGCACATGCCTTAACCTCTGAACTATCTCCCGGCCCAAAGGAATGGATTTCTACCAGTGAATTCCGAGAGCAGGGCTGGCTTTTGAGAGGTGGGGCTGCAGCGAAGGACCTTTCCAGGGCAGCCCCTGGGCATCAAACTGCCCCCCCACCCCCTCCCCCACCCCAGCGCCCCTTACCGATCTCCCTGCGGAGCGCAGTGTTCTGGGCGCCACCGTCCAGGAGGTTGGTGAGCCGCTCCACGTCGAACGGCCTCACGGACCTCTCGCTCTCCATGTCGGGGTGCACCCGCCTGTTCCAGGACTCCCCGATAGACACACGGTGCACTGGGCTGCCCATCCTGGCTCCGGCTCGGCTCTCCACCTTCTGGCTGAGGGCAGAACACCCATGCAGGTGCGTGGGTATGGGGGAGCGAGCCTCTTTAATGTCTCTTTAACTCCTCCCCTGCCCCCCTGGACACTGGGCCGTGTGCCAGGGTCTCTGGGCATTGCCTCCCGTAAGGACCTGGGAGGCGGCAGGGCAGAATGCATTAGCCAGAAAGGGGCTAAAGCCTCCTGCCCCCGCCCCCCACACAGATGCCCATGCTCAGCACTGCTGTACAAACTTTTGGGACCTACCCCAACCTGCTTTGTCCACATCCCCCAAGTGCTGGGGGCTCCTTGGCCACTGCTGAGCTCTGATGGCATAAATCTGGGAATACCCCACCCCCAACTCTGGGCGTTGTCCCCCAGAGTCATGGTAGACCCCGACTTCTTCACAGCAGTGCCCATCTACATAGCAACCTCCTTTTCCCCTCGACGTGACACCCCGTGGCTTTAGTTTCTTTTCCTGATAGACGGTCTCCAATGCTTCTGCTCTGGTTTTCTGATTGTCTGGGGTTTTGGTTTTGGGGCCACACCCAGCGATGCTTACTCCTGGCTTACTCCTGGCTCTGCACTCAAGGAATTACTCCTAGCGGTGCTCTGGGGACCACATGGGATGCTGGGGATCGCCATGCAAAGACAAGTGCTGCACCCGCAACTATCATCCCTCTGACTCCTGTTTTTGTTTGATTTGGGGCTGCACCTTGGCAGGGCTGTGGAGTTACTCCTGGCTCTGTTCCGGGTCCGCTCCCGGGGTTGCTTGGGAGACCACGTGGCACCGGGCATCAAGCCCAGATCATGGAGCACAGCCGGTGCCTTGCCCTTTGGTGTGACCCTCATAATTTTTTTTGAAGTCTGGCAGTGCTCAGTGCCACTGCTGGTGGCTCTGGAGGACCACGTGGGGGAGTATCAAACTTGACTCTGACCCACAGTTGTTCTCTGGGCCCTAGCCCCCAGGGCCCCCTCCTCTCAGAACCTTCCTAATGGCCGCACCCCTGGGACCCCCCCACCCTCACCCCCACCCCATCCCATAGGGGTGGGTGATCCCATCCCCAGGTAGACAGTGTCAGGGGCACCTCTGCTTTATCCTGGGTCCTGGGAACCAGCCGACAGGCAGCCCTGACACTCTTTCCTGCAGGTGTCCCAGTCTTCTGCACCCCAGCCCTACAACTAGGCATGTCTCCTGGCAGAGCAGGACAGGCGCCAGGGAAGGAGAGGCTTGGTGGGGTCACAGGCTGCGGGGCTGTGGGGGTTCTGGGAGGGGGGTGTGCTTGGCATTAAGCCCCGCCTCCTGATGTACGCCCCCCCCCCCCCAATCAGCTCTCTCTACTTCCTCTGGACCCTGGAACATTCGGGGCCTTGGGCCTCACCCCAGCGTCTCCCTGGCTGGCTCGTGCCCAGAATGCCCTCGCCCCTTCCTTTTCCGCCGCCCTTCCCTGTCCTAGGCACGCGGGCAGAGGTTGCACCAATGTCAGCTTTTGGGTGTGGCCACGGGACCACCCTCTTCAAGACCCCCTTCTCCGGCCTTGCCCAGGGCGCTCACTCGACCCTGGGGGCCTCTTTCCCTGCCCTGAAACCTCCACGGCGATTCTGCTCACGGACGGGGCTTCCTGGGCTTCCTGGGCTCCCCCACCCCAAGGTCAAGTCCGAGCAGGGGCTGCCACCGCACCCCGGTGCCGACCTCTGGCGGCGGGTCTCGGTGCCGGGGCGCGCGGGCGCTCGCCGGGCCCTGCCCGTCCCCCGCCCGACCCGGCCGGACTCACTTGGGTCCCGCGCGCCGGGTCGCGCCGCCTCTGCTCGCTGCAGGCTCGGGTACCCCGACTCGGGCCAGGCCTAGGCCCGGCGGGCGCGGCCCGGCCCCTTTCTCCTCCCCCGGGGCCGGCCCTGCCCGCGACCGTGCCCGCCCAGTTCGAGCCGGGGCGCTGCGAAGCCAGGGGGTTCGGCCTCCGCTTCCCGCCTGGCCCCGGGGTTTGGGTTCCGACCCGGTGCACGCCCCGGCCCGGCGGTCTCGAGGCGCCCTTGCCCGGCGCGGGTGGAAAGGGCAGGGCCTGGTCCAAACGAAGCCCTGGCAGCCTTTCTGTTTCTCAGCCCCGTTCCGCAGGAGCATCCCTCGGTCTCTGCAGGAGCATCTCCCGGTCCCCGCAGGGCGTAGGGTGCAGGGCGCAGGGCGCAGGGTGCAGGGCGCAGGGCGCAGGGCGCAGGGTGCAGGGCGCAGGGCGCAGGGTGCAGGGCGCAGGGCGCAGGGTGCAGGGCGCAGGGTACAGGGCGCAGGGCGCAGGGTGCAGGGCGCAGGGCGCAGGGCGCAGGGCACACGCTGTTCTCCACCGCGATGCGTGCGGGCCGCGGTGTGAGGCCTGGGTGGGGGTGGGGGTGGGGGTGGGGTCCTGGGTGCACCGGATGCAATGACTTAGCTCATCCCGATCGTTTGTGGCTGGAGGTGGGGCGTGGGTGCTCACCCCGTCCGTGCCCTGACGCTTAACCACCGTTCGCGATCCCTCCCAAGCTGACCTCACTGCCCAGGGGGGCCCAGCAGGAAGCAAGAACCAAGCACCAAGCAAAACCGCCCCTGGGAAATTTGGAAACTGGGTGCGGGGGGCCTCTGAGGGCTGTTGGAAAGAGAGAGAAGCACTGTAGGGACGAGCCCAGGACCCAAAGTGGGATATTCCTATTGGTTTATGGTTCTGAACTTGAAGCTTTCTGCAGTGGCAGGGGGTCATGCTATGCTGGGGGCGAGGGGGAGGCGGTGTCCATCACAGGAACTCCCTCCAGCAAGACAGGAGCCATGTCTGCTGACCAGACGCCTCTGTCTTCTCTGTTCCAGGCTGAAAACGAAGCCCTGACAAACTTGGTGTTTCTCAGCCCCTGTTGAGCAGAGCGGTGGCTGTTCAGTCGTTTTGTGCTGGGGACGGTGGACATCAGACCAACGGTCTGGCAGAAGATACACGTACACAGTTTGCTTCCACCTGTCCTGGGTTCCAGGCTTACCCAGGTGTTCAATGGCTATAACGTGTGGGCCATCCGGACATTTCTATGCCCCCATGAAAGCTGGACACTGGCTGTTACCTGCGAACTCTCCTCTGCACAGGTCCAGGCGTTCTTTCTCCCCTCGCTGGCATGGAAGCTTGCCTTACAGCTGGCGCTACTCACACTCACTTCCTGGCCTGTGAACTGCTGTTTCTTTACCAGTAGAGCCTCTGATGCCAACCTGATCTCCCTTGAGTTTGTAGAAAACAATTCGCGCCCATAGGCTGTATCGGAGTTGTGCTGTTTCGAACAAACCGGTGTCGATAGAGTGGTTTTCTGAGTTCTTGAAGCCTCTCTTGATGATAAGTCAATGTGTGGAGGAGGTTCTGGAACTTGGGTCGGGCGCTGAAGTGGGAGCTTAGGGAGGCGCATGAGCCTGACTTCAGGAGTAGAGTCAGAATTGAAAGCTGGACCCCTCCCCATTAGGTGCTGGAGAGTTGGGAACTTGGTTGCTGGGAGGGAAAACACGCTTTCTATGACAAATGGGGGCAAAAAAAAAAAAAAGGCAGCGTCACTCGGGGCTCACACCTCCATAGTGGTGCATGTAAATAATTTTTTTATTTAATTGAAATGTTCCCCCCACCCCTTCCCTTCCTGTGATTGGTTTTGTGATGACGAGGGCTCCAGCACTTGGCCATGGTGCTCACTGTGGGTGATACAGTACTTTGGGTGCTTGCACCGGTGGTTGTGATGCTCACTTTGTTCTGAGTCGGGGGGGAACTGACAGTGAGCAGCTCGGGTCATGGGCATAGGCCGAGCAGTGCTGGGGGTCTGACTCTGGGCCTCGCGCCTGTGAGGTGGGAGCTCAACTAAGTCACAGCCCTGGGCACTGAGCTGCTTTTTTGCTTTAACTATTGATTTTCATCTGAATCCCTTCACTTCACTTTTCTTTTTATTTTTGGGTCATACCTGGCGATGCACAGGGGTTACTCCTGGCTCATGCACTCAGGAATTACCCCTGGCAGTGCTCAAGGGACCAAATGGGATGCGGTGAATTGAACTTGGGTTGGCACAAGTAAGGCAAATACCTACCCACTGTACTATTGCTCCAAGCCCCTCACTTCACCTTTTGACACCTGCGGACTGGTGAAAACCGGAGAAATATTTTGCAGATTGGCAAAATGGCGTGTGTGAACATGCTGGCCCTGCGACTCATGGTCAGGCAGTCCTGTCGGCTCCACTCAGCTCCGAGGACCCGCAAGAAGTCTGCAAAGCTTCACTACTGATGCAAACCAACCACTGACCTAAATCCTTAGTGCTGGCAAGAACTGTGTTCTTCCGATTACTCTCCTGTCCTAGCCCTGGAGTGAGAAAAAGTACATAAAGATGGGCAGGAACCAGACCCTACCTTCAGACATGGATGAGTTTAGGGCTTAGAAAAAAAGTTCTTTGGGCTACATTTGGCAGTACTCAGGGGTTACTCTTGGCTCTGCACTCAAGAATCACTCCTGGGGGCTAGAGCCATAGTACAGCGGGTAGGGCATTTGTCTTGCATGTGGCCGACCCAGGTTTGATCCCTGGCATCCCATATAGTCCCCTGAGCACTGTCAGAAGTAATTCCTGAGTACAGATCCAGGAGTATAGGGGTAACCCTTGAGCATCGCTGGGTGTGGCTGAAAAAGCAAAAGAAAGGAAGGAAGGAAGGTAGGAAGAAAGAGAGAGAGAGAGAGAGAAAGAAAGAAAGAAAGAAAGAAAGAAAGAAAGAAAGAAAGAAAAACAATCACTCCTGGATAGGCTTGGGCCCATATGTGGAGATAGGGATTGAACCCACGTGGGCAGAATGCAAGGCAAGTGCCTTATTACCATACTATGGCTCTGCCCTTGACACTTTTTTTTTTAAAGGTGTGTGAGTTCATGCTCTTCGTGTCCCTTGCACATCTTAGCATGCAAGAGACCAAGGCCTTCCATTTCAAAGCTGGGGATTTTTTGATGACCAGAAATATCAAAGAGCTGTTCCCAGGCAGGTGTGCAAAGTTGTCATGGGCTTTCTGCTGCTTTTTCCTGATATTTCCTCATCATGACCTCTGCCAGCCACAGCTTGTCAGGATCCTGAGCTGCTAATATGAAAGGATCCCTTCTGCACAGACCTGCAGTGCACAGGGCGCAGCCCTCCTGTCCCAGAACAGGTTTTTGGGTTGTTTTGTTTGGGGGCTTACTCTTGGCTCAACACTCAGGAATTACTCCTGGCAATACTCGGGGACCATATTGGATGGCAAGGATTAAACTCAGGTCAGCTGTGTGCAAGGCAAGTGCCCTACCCGCTGTGCTATCATTCCGGCACCTGAGTTTCAATTTTTATATGAGAGATTTTAAGACTTTACAATAGCAGAGCAAGCACATGACCCCACCAGTACCCAACACCAGCTTCAGTGATGAGCACTTCTACTGTGCCATGTTGGTGCTCCCTTTTCTTTCTTTCTTTCTTTCTTTCTTTCTTTCTTTCTTCCTTCCTTCCTTCCTTCCTTCCTTCCTTCCTTCCTTTCTTTACATAGGAGTACTGCTATTTATTCAGCATTGATTCAGCCGATTTCTTCTTTGTTTTTTAACCTTTTATTTCAAAACAACTTGACTTTCAAAAAGTTGCAAAAAACAAACTTTTTGGAATATCTCCTACTAAACTTTCATAATTGTTAACATCTTACACAACCATTGCCCAATGTTTGGAACTGAGAAATGAACTCTGATGCAAGTCTAGTTGATAATTTTCATATCTTTCCTGAGTATTTCAGAATCATCAAGTAAATTGCATGATTTTCTAGGACTCACAACTCAGAGAAACTGTACGTAAGGTAATGTTTTACTCTTGCAAAAGGGTATGTTTGAGAATCAATAAAGGAAAGAATTGTGGACAGCGGGTCGAGGAGAGGACAGGCATGCCCAGTGACCCACTTTGGCCTCTAGGTCAAAGACAAAAACACCCAAAGTCATCATCTACTATAGTGTGCAGAGGTGAAATCTAGCAGAGATGAAATCTCTATTGTTAACCAACTTTATAGCATTGGTTCAGTTTCCTAAGTTAGAGAGAAACAGCTCCTCTTAGTGACTAACTCTTGTTAATAATTTCAGAATTTTCTTTGAATAAGTAACTTTTTTGTGTGTGCACTGAGGATTGAAATCAGGGTCTCAGGCATGTTAGGCATGTGCTTTAAAAAACAACAACGACAACAAAAACGATTTGAGCACTGGACCCATACCTTGCATTTTGAGATAAATCTGCACCCTTTTATTTACTTTTGAAAGCCATTACCTTAATCATTACATGTTTTCTTCTTCCTTCCTTCCTTCCTTCCTTCCTTCCTTCCTTCCTTCCTTTCCTTCCTTCCTTCCTCCCCTTCCCTCCCTCGCTCCCTCCCTTTCTCTTTCTTTCTTTCTTTCTCTTTCTTTCTTTCTTTCTTTCCTTCCTTCCTTCCTTCCTTCCTTCCTTCCTTCCTTCCTTCTCTCTCTCTCTCTTTCTTTCTTTCTTTCTTTCTTTCTTTCTTTCCTTCATTCCTTCTCTCTCTTTCTTTCTTTCTTTCTTTCTTTCTTTCTTTCTTTCTTTCTTTCTTTCTTTCTTCCCTACACCCAGTGGTGCTCAGGGGTTCCACTTAGGGATCGGTCCTGGTGGGGTCAGGGGACCATATCGGTGCCTGGGATTGCACCTGGATCAGCTGTGTGCTGGGTACCTGTCCTGCTCACTATCTCTCTGGCCTGAATGATGATATATTTTTTTGAGTCATGCACTCCCAGGAGAAACTACTGTCAACGTTTGTGGCTTCAGCTTGTATCGTGGCATTTGGTACCATGTCAAAATGATGGTGCAATAACGAACCCACCCCTAGGTCTGAATGGCTAAGTTCCAGCTGACTTCTTTCACATACCAAGTTTGCTGCTGGTGAGGGAAATTCGTTGTCCTGGTGGTGACTTAAGAAGACAGAATGTTTTGATTTCTTGCTTCCTCTGTCTTAAAGGAACTTTTCGTGCTTGATGCCGAGACTGAAAGAGATGCATTTCCCCAGTGTTCCTTATGACCTCAGCCCAGAAGTGACCCAGATCACACTTCTGCCCCAAGTCACCCTCCAGGACTCCTGCTGGGTCCCTGCTTAAGTGTGTGACGGCTGGGGAATAATGGCCCAGATGGCCAGGGAGGAGAGGAGCAGGTCACGACACTGAGCCTGCTGGTTCACAAGCTCCTGGTTTCCTCGGGAGTCTGTGTTGGATTGAAGCAGAGAGAAATTCTTCGAAGTTGTTGTAATTAATTTTTTTTTTTGTGCCACACCTGGCTTTGCCTAGGGCTGACTTCTGGCTCTGCACTCAGGAATCACTCCTGGCGGGGGTGGGGGACCCAACAGGTGTCAGGGATTCAACCCAGGCTGGCCGCATGCAGAGTGAACACCCTATCCCCTGTGCTACCACTCCGGCCCATGGAGAGTTGTTGTAAAAGAGAGTAAAGGAAAGGATAATGTGGAGGTGAGAGGAATAAGGTGGTCTCCTACACCCCCAGATTGAGGCCTGGGAGACGGAAGGGGGCAGTCTTAGGGTGGCCAGCCTGAGGGAGGGCTGCGTGCTGGGTGAACTTCAGTCTCAGGAGACTGAGTGGTGGAAACATTGAAGGACTTGGGTCAGTGACAGATGTGATGACCTGGGGCTGTCAAGGACAGGGGAGATGACAGTTATTAACTGGGGGAGGGGGGAGGCACACCCTGCAATGCTCAGGGCTTCCTCCTGCCTGTGTGCTGAGGGATCCTTACCCCGGTGCTATCCTCCCCCTGCCCTTGTTAAGAATCGGCTTTACTGGGTGCTGGCTGTGTGCCTGGCACTTCCCAAACGTTTTATGTTCATTAACAGTCCTCTGAGCAGCCCTTGAGGCTGGAATCACTGGAGCCCTCATTAAGAGATGAGAGCCCCCCCCACCCCCAACCCCCCATCCATGGGGCTGATAGCTGAGCCGCTGTCCCTCCCACCTCACCCACCAGCCTGGAGTTCACGAGACTTTGGAGTCTGCCTCGGGTCCCCGAGTATCGTGCAGGGCTGTGCTGCAGTTTTTTTATTTTATTTTATTTTATTTTATTTTTTTATTAGTGAAAAACCATGAGGTACAGTTATAGGCTTACAAATTTTGTGCTTGGGTTTCAGTTATACAATGATCAAGTGCCCATCCCTCCACCAGTGCCCGTCATCCATCCCCATGGGTCCCAGCAGTCTTGCAGGACCGAGGGCGCATCCCCTGGCGGCTGGCAGTGTGTCAGGCTCGGGGTCAGGTGCTCTGGTCCGTTCTCCCGGCTTCCAGCACGCTCCGGGCATATACTGGTTGGTGCTCTGTGCCCGCTTCTGTCCTGCACCTTCTGCCAGCTTTGGGGCCAAGGGCGGGCGCACGTGGAGTCCTTGTAAGTGCCCCTGGCCATGTGCATCCAAACTGGGGCTGAGATTCCGGTCCCCGAGGCCCGTTCTGCCAGCTGGCGTGGACCTGGCAGGGAAAGGAGGAGGCGGAAGGCCATGTGGCCTCAGCACGCCGGCAGAATGTTTCTGGCGACAGATGGCGAAGCTTGCACGTGGGTGCCCTGAAAAACATCCTCCTACGGGCCCCGGGGTGCGCGCGGCGGGATCAACGCGCGGGCTCACGGCTCGCTTGCGCCACCTGCTGGCCGCGCGCCTTCGGGCGGGTCTCGGGGCTCCAGGTGGGACTCGCACCTGGGCATTGCTCCGAGGATTGAGCGAATTGAAGGGAGACTCTGGGGACTGAGTGAAACAAAAATCAGCCTCAAGTGCTACTCGGGTCTCTCATCCCGAAACCAACATGTTCAATGAGATCACACTCAACTGCACCCTCCATCCTGTCCAGAGCCCCACCAGGGTGGTTTCTGTGCCCCTGAATGATGCTGGTCTTACCCAGTATCACTGGGACTGGTCCCTGCCCCCAACCCCTGAAATCCCTAGTCTAGCCCCGGGGGGCAGCCCCTATTAAAACAAGAACAACAATAAAAGGAATGGGTTATAAGAAGTGTCACGAGTCACTTGTCATCCCTTTGATCATCGATTTGCTTGAGCGGGCGCCAGTAACTACTCCATTCTCCCTGTTGCGTGCTAGTGTAGCCCAATGGCGTATTGGGGCCTCTTTCGGGGTCTGGGGAATGACCATTATTGTTACTGTTTTTGGCATATCGGATACGCCATGGGTAGCTTGCCAGGCTCTGCCGTGTGGGCGGGATACTCTCGGTAGCTTGCCGGGCTCTCCAAGAGGGATGGAGGCTTTAGGAGCAGCCTCTAATCACTTTACAGGTGTTCCCAGTCTACCGAATGCGAGTTTTTGGTCGACTGGTCCTCTGCACGCTCCAGGAAAAACTGCGTTGCTCTCTTCCGGGAGCTTTATTTTATAGTCTCTGGATCTTGGCCGTTGATGAGAGTACATGATACCAGGGCGGTCACAGGAAAGGAAAAAGTTTAGCAACTCGCCCAGGCTGGCAAATCATGGTTGAGCCAAGCCGGAGCTCAAACCAGATGGGGCATAGCATTAGCTTTCTTCACCGACACTGGCCTTGCAGAAGGAACAAGCGATTTAGGCCAGACACTAAGACGGGCAGAGCTTGGGTGCCTGGTGCTACGGAGGGACCCCTTGCTGGCTTTGCCCAGTGAGATGCTGGGCAGCCCCACCCCTTTCTCTGTAAGGTCTTGGTGGAAGGTGAGAGCGACGGTGAGAGTGACTTTTTGGAAAGTCACCCTCCTGTTTGCTCTGGGAGAGGGTGACCCATATTAGTTTCAATAATGAGGACAGGACCAGGTTTGGCTGCTAATCCCCACGAGTGGGAAGATGCGATTCGGTGGAGGCTTAGCAAAAGGGGGCACCCTGAGCGAGACTGTGGGGTGGCAGGGGGATTGGTGGGTCTTTGGGACCACTGAAAAATCAGCTCCTTCAGAAACCCCTCACTGCCGAGACCACTCACTGTTAGAGAGACACATAAGAAAAAAATCAGCAAGATCTGTGTTACGTGGTGATAAGTGCTGAGGATAAATAAGGAAGGGAAGGAAGGAACAGGAAATGTGTGGGAGACTGTGAGATTTAATTTTTTTTTTTGCTTTTTGGGTCACACCCAGCAATGCACAGGGGTTACTCCTGGCTCTGCACTCAGGAGTTACTCCTGGCGGTGCTCAGGGGACCATATGGGATGCTGGGAATCGAACTCGGGTCACCCACGTGCAAGGCAAACGCCCTACTCGTTATCGCTCCAGCCGGACAGTGAGATTTTAGAGGGGTGAGAGGGAGGGGCTTCATTAGAATGAAGAAAGTGGGGAACAGCTGTGCTCCCCGAGGGAAGCTTTCTGCTGGCCGCGGAGTTGGGGTGCAGAGACAAGAGGAGGAAGAGCTGGTGTTGATGCCAGGGCAGAGCTGCAGGGCCAAGAGGGAGGGCAGGAGAAGTGAGTCGGGGGATAAGAGGGGGTTGGGCGCTGGAGAGGTGGCTCAAAGGGCAGGAGGGCAGACTCTGCATGAGGGAGCTCTAGGCTTGATCCCCAGCACCGCACGTTCCTCCAAGCACCATTGGTATATCCCCATCACCCCCAGAGAAGGAGCTGGAGCTGCAGAACTGTCTAGTCAGCGGAAGGTGGTGGAGAGCGAGTGCCGAGAGTGGCCAGCTCTGCCTTTGGGTTTAGCAGGCTTATCTGGCTGCTCTGTGTGTGTGTGTGGGGGGGGGGGGGCGGCGGGGGGCAGGGGCAGAGCAGCGAGACCAGGTAGGAGGCGGCCACGGTGATAGTCCGGGTGCTGTGAGTTCCCCTGTGCCCTCGGACAAGGCAGACTTCCTGAGCAGTATCGGATACATGTGCTCTTTGGCGATGCCCCAAAGCCAGCTCCCAGGCTGGTGCCATCCGAGGCATTACTGCTGGGGATCCTGATCCATTTGGGTTTTGATGATAAAGAGGAATCTGGGTTTTGGGGGAGGGGCTGGAGAGATAGTAAAGCAGATAGGGCGCTTACTTTGCAAGCAGCTGTGCAGCTGACCTGGGTTCCACCCCTGGTAGTATCCCATAAGGTCCCCAGAAAACCACCAGGAAAATTCTTGAGTGTACTCAGAGTAGCCTCTGAGCATTGCCAGGTATGTTTCCCCCCACCCCCTCAGAGAACAAAAACAAAATGCAAAAAAAAAAAAAAAGGAACCTGGATTATCAGTATAGGCTACAAGCAGAGAACCACCGACCTATATTAGGAATGCTTTAGACTACAAGTAAAAAAAGACCATGCAACCTGTGACTTAAACAAAGAGGGTTTTATTTACAAGAATTCTGAAAGAAGACCGTTGCTGGCATTGGCTTAGTCAACGATGATAAGGCTCAACGTCTCGGAGAGTCTCTTGGCCTTTTTCTCCCGACAGCAAAATGGCTGCTATGGCTCGGGGCATCACATCACCAACCAAGGCAGGAAGCAGGCAGGGACGAGGAAGTGTTAGCCATGTCAGTATCGTTTATCAATAAAAGCTTAAGATGCCCCAGAGCCCCTGTAGACTTCCTTTAAATTTCACTGGCCGTGCCTGGATCCCTAAGCTGCAAAGGAGGTTGGGACAAGAATGTGCCTTTACAACCTGCCTAGTGGGAAGTGGCCGAGAGGAGTCAGGACTGACGCCGGGGAGTGCACCAGAGTGTCTGTATGGCATGAGGTGCAGTACCAGGCCACCTCTGCGGCCCCCAAGGGAAGCCCCAAGCAGTCCCTCTGAGGACACTCTCTACTTCAGGATCCTGCATCTTTTCCTTCATTCTCACCCCAGAGGAGGAGTCTGGGATGCTGCCACCACAGTCTCACAAAAACAGACATTTTTTGGGTCCTTCCAGCTCAACTCACACTTTTTTTTTTTTGCCACGCCTGGCAATGCTTAGCAGTTACTTCTGGCGGGGCTCAGGGTCGGCACTGTGCAAGGCCAGTGCCTTACCTGCCAGACTGTCTCTCTGGCTTCCCCAGTGACTTGCTCTCTCGTGCACACATGACACAGCATGGCGACATGGACACCCTCTGCGGGTATCAGGCATGTCCCGCCAAGCACGCAGAGAGGAAGGAGTATGAGCCTTCCATTCTGGGCATCACACATCTGGCTCCAAGAATCAAACCGCCACCTAGTAGGTGCTGGTAAGAGAGGGCCTTTCTCACCCTGCCCTGCCCACTGAAAGGAGGCATTTCCAGAGCCGAGGAAGGTGGAGGGGTTGTTCTTGGGGAAAGGAACCGGGTCTGGCTCATTCATTCTCTAAACCTTGCAGAGCCCAAGGCAGCCACAAATTTCAAACACGGAAATTGTTTGTCTTGCACGAAAGGGGTTTCTGATGTCCCAGGGGCTAGAACCAAGTGGCATGGGGAGTGACTCTGGCAGGAGATGGGGACTCAAAGGGATGGGGGTGGGATGGGGCAGTTTCAAACCTCTGCTCCTGTTTCTGGAGCTTGGTGCTCCCCTTGGTGTATCTGCTCTCCACAGGCTATTGGCTAGACTGTGTCATCACCGTGGTTAGAAAGCAGATTGGCAACGGCCCAAGGAACTCTGGCGCAAACCCCGCCACACCTGTCCCTGGGAGCAAGACGGTGGTCTGTGTGAGCGTGGGGGCCCTGGTGGGCGCATCATAGAGAGTCCCAGGGGCTGTGGAGTGCGGTGAGGACCTCCAGGGCAGGGCTGGGGGGTGGACAGAAACAGTGATGGCTTTCAGGAGAGTTCGAGCCTGCAGTCCTGGGGAGACAGAGAGAGCCTCAAACCAGCAGCCCCATGCTTGGACGAGCAGACATCAAGCCCCACCTCAGCCCCACTGAGTCTGAGACCTAAGTTCCCCCAGGTGCCCAGGCCGGGCCGGGAGGGCAGTGGAGAGGCTGCAGTGGGGGAGGGGGGACAGGCTGGTGAACTCTGGGCCTTCCCGGCCCAGGACAGTGGCACCTGCCCGGCCCCCCTGACCTCTCCCAACAGGCAGTCCAGGCTGCTATGTCCAGGGGCCCAAGCCTGGGCAGGGCACACCAGTGGCCGGACACTCTCCCAGGAAGCCATGGGGCTGCCAGAGATGTCACATGGGGAGCTAGCCAGATCAGAGACCCTCCAGCTCTGCAGGAAGGCTCGTGGGGCTCAGGACCCCCCCAGGGAGAGGAACCTGTTGACTGAGTGCTCTGTGCTGAGGTGGGAAGGGGAAGCGGTTGGGGGAGGGGGCGCTGGGGAGAAGTCTGGCCGCAGGCTCCGGGGAGGCAGATTTCTAGGAAGCAAAGCCAAGCGCCATCAACGTCACAGATGCCCCAGACCTTCGGTCCCGGGCTCTTGGGTACAGACAGGCTGGAGCAGGTGGCCTGGGTAGGGGGGCACAGTTGGTGGAGGGGGGTCCCCCGGCCAGGTCTACAGCACCCTCTCTTCACTGCCCAGGGCCGCGATTCTCCGTAGGTTCTCCCGGACCTTGATGAACTCAGGCGCGTGCTCCTCTTCCTTCTCCGGTGGCTTCTCCAACTGAGGGAGAGAGAAGCAGGTCAGGAAGTGTGGGGGCGGAAGGGGGTTCCTCTTCACAAAGGGGGGGGGCGGGGAACCTGGCAGCTATCTGTCTTGCCACCCGTGTGGCAGCTGGTGGGGGGAGCCAGAGCTTGAGCCCGGGCAGCCTCATGGAAGCCTCTCATGTCCCCTCTGGGTCCCCAGTGCTGACTTCGGGACAGCTGTGAATGAAATCGGGATCAGCTGCTGGCGAGAGAGGAACAGAGAGGGGAAGCCAGGGGCCCAAGGTCACACAGCGAGGTGAGTGGCCATGGGAGGACTCCTGAGCCAGTCCTCATCCTGCTCAGCCTCCTTCCTCTGGCCAGCTGTGGTCAGCAGGGACAGGACATGGCCTTGGAGGGGGCCAGGCTGGGACAGGGGGCTCCTCGCACCTGGTTCAGCCTCTGCTGCCGTTTCAGCAGCTCCTGCTCGAAGGGGCACTGCAGCCGCTTGGCCTCCAGCTCCTCCTTCTTCTTCTTGATGAGCTGGTTCCGCCGGCGGTGTTCTAGGACCCGCTGCAGCTCCGGTTTGCTGTCCACGCCGAGCCCCCTAGGGTGTGGGTGACCGTCAGTAGGACCCCCGGCCACCCCCAGCACCGTCTCAGGACAGTGAGACCCGTGGTGGGTCCTGGACACCCCCGGCACGCGGAACTGTCCCATTTCACAGAGCTGTGGAGGACTCGAACCCAGAGTCCTGTCTTAGGTCATTCATGGCTATTTTCTCAAAGTGAGTTTTTGCAGGCGAAGCTGATGGGTCAGACTCTTTTGAAAGGTTCTGAATAAATATTTCCACCTACCCCCATCCCCTCCCAGAAAGGCTTTTCCCATTTATACCCTGCCAGTAAATTGCTCTGGCAAAAGTTTCTATTTCTCTTCACCATCTCTAGCTAATCTTTTTACACTGGAGAATGCTGGCACGGAGGGAGCTCAGTGATTGTGTGTTACGTGATTTTCATTTCTCCTTTTGTGAACTATGCCCGTGGGTTGTTGTTTTTCCCTTCTGGGTTTTTTATAGCTAGAAATCTGTTGTTGAGATTGCAAATATTTCCCCCTGAACTATCCTTTAGGATTTTGTTGTTTTTGTTGTGATACTTCTGATATTTTAAAGGATTACTTTAAAAGGCAATCCGAAGGGCTGGAGCGATAGTACAGCGGGCAGGGCGTTTGCCGTGCACGCAGCTGACCCGGGTTCAATCCCCATCTGGTCCTCTGAGCACCGCCAGGAGTGATTCCTGAGTGCAATGCCTTGTGTAAGTGTAAGCCCTGTCCATCGCCGGGTGTGACCTCAAAAGCAAAAAACCGAAGGGAATCAGAGAAATGATTGATGATATATTCAAAGGAAAAAAACAAAAGCGAAGGCACGGAGGAAAATAACTGCCATTTGTCTACGGTGGTCCCCAGCGCGAGGATGAAAATCACGGCCCGCGCCAGTACCAGAACCTGCCAGCAGAGGGAGCTGTGTAGGCGCCGCCGCCAGCATCCCGGTCCTTGGGCGCGTGGAGGTATTTCCCAGACTGGAGCATCCCCAGACTCTTTTCCCGGATCTCTTTCTCCTACTCCAAGCCCCTTCTCCCAGCCCTGCCGCTGCAAGCCTGTCTGTGTCTCTCATTGCATTACGTCGCCTCCCTACTCCAATCATGCTTCCTCCCCAACGGTGATTCCCTGCCAGAGACCTCCCAAGGGTCCACAGTCACTCTACAGTAATGCTCCAGCCACGGCTGGGGGCTCCAGCTTACAGGGCTCACCCCCTCCCCTGGGAACATGCTCCCATTTGCCTGTTGATGCCCGCCCCCGAGGCTGGCTGACCTTGGAGACGAGGTATTGCCTCCTGCCTGAGGTCATTTTAGGTGCCTGTCCCAGGTGCATATGCCCGAAAGCCCTAATTACACTTCCAAGGGAAGAGAATCCGGGTCAAAATGGGTCAGGAAGACGGGCCAGTGGCTGGTCAATGGTGTGGGAGATGGAGGGTAGTTAAGATAGAGGAGGGTTCATTATGACAATCATGGTCACGGTCACGGTCCTCCCGTTGTTCATCAATTTGCTTGAGCGGGCCCAGTAACGTCTCCATCGTGAGACTTCTTGTTACTGTGTTTGGCATATCGAATACGCCATGGGGAGCTTGCCAGGCTCTGCCGTGCGGGCGAGATACTCTCAGTAGCTTGCTGTGCTCTCTGAGAAGGGTGGAGGGATTGAACTCGGGTTGGCCAGGTTGGCTGCATGCAAGGCAAATGCCCTACTAGTTGAAAATGATCACTCTGGACAAGAACTGAGTGTCGAAAGCAGATAAAGGGGTATAGATGACAGCCTTTCAGCATCTGGATTGCAAACTAAAATGAGAGGGGGAGAGAGAGAGAGAGAGAGAGAGAGAGAGAGAGAGAGAGAGAGAGAGAGAGAGAGAGAGAGAGAGGTCTGCCACAGAGGCAGGCTGGGGTGGTGGGTGGCTTGAAGGGATGGGAGGGAAACAGTGATTCAATAAAAAAAAAATTGAGGATCCAGGTCCACTTGGTGCTCACCCCCTCTGTAAAGGCGGAAGTAAGTCCCACTCCTAGTTGTTCCCCCAGTGACAGGCACGTAGTAGGTGTTCAGTCAACACTTCTGGCGAGCAGGTATGAGGTGGAGCAGGGCAAGGGACAGAGGCTCATGGGGTTTCTGCTGGTGACCAGCTCTCAGGATGAGCACCAGGGGGCGCCATCCAGCTCCCCGCGGCCCTGGGGAGCTGCTCCCTGTGCAGAGGCAAGAGAACTCACCTTCTGTGGTTCATGAGCAGCTCGCGGTGCAGCTCCTGGTGGCTCCGAGAGGCCTTCACAGGGTTCAGCAGCTTCTTGGGTTTGATGAGCTCTGGGTTCCAGTCTCTGTACTCGGGCCGCGCCATCAGGCCCCCGATGTCTGCTCGCTCCCTCTGGATCTCGGAGTACATGGCGGCTAGAGTGGGAGAGGGGGCTGGTCAGAGAGGGGTGACCAGCTCCCCCACAGTGTGCCGGTTGGGTGCCAGGACTTGGTGTAAGACGAACCCCAGCCACTTGCTCCTCGTAGCTCTGGGCTCATCTGTGAGCTGGAAACTGTGGGCGCTGCATGGGGGGAGGGATGTGGGCAGCGGGCAGGTGCTGCTGGGTCACTGAGTCAGGCCACACACATGCAGGGGTGTGGGGCCTGATGGAGAATGGCCAGTGTGCCTGCATACAAGTTGGATTTGCAATGAGACTGCATTTGAAAAAAAATATGTTAAAAGAGTTCTATGTAGGGGGCTGGAGTAGGGCGTTTGCCTTGCATGCGGTCGACCAGCATCCCATATGGGTCCTGAGCACCACCAGGAGTGATTCCTGAGTGCAGAGCCAGCAGTAACCCCTGTACATTGCCAGGTGTGACCCCAAAATAAATAAATCACTGTCACTGTCCTGTTGTTCATTGATTTGCTCGAGCGGGTCCAGTAATGTCTCCATTGTGATAATTGTTACTGTGTTTGGCATATCGAATACATCACGGGTAGCTTGCCAGGCTCTGCCGTGCAGGCGAGATACTCTCGGTAGCTTGCCGGGCTCTCCAAGAGAGGTGGAGGAATCGAACTCGGGTCGGCCATGTTGGCTGCTTGCAAGGCAAACATCCTACCTGCTGTGCTCCAGCCCAAAATAAACAAACAAATAAATAAATAAAAAGAGTTCTATGTATTTGTTAAAGATAATTCAGAAAAAGGGCTGGAGCTATAGCACAGTGGGTAGGGCGTTTGCCTGGCACACAACCAACAAGGCCGACCCGAGTTCGATTCCTCCGCCCCTCTCGGAGAGCCCGGCAAGCTACCGAGAGTATCTCGCCCGCACGGCAGAGCCTGGCAAGCTCCCCGTGACGTATTCGATATGCCAGACACAATAACAAGTCTCACAATGTTACTGGGCCCGCTCCAGCAAATCGATGAACAACGGGAGGACCGTGACCGTGAATTCAGAAAAAAGCAGGGATTAAAAAAAAAACTTGCCCCATATTGTCGACATTTCCTACCCATCGTTCCAAATTCCCTGGTGGAGGAGTCCATCTTTTCCCTTTCTCTGGGCCAAAGAGGAGAGTCTGGAACCTAGAACTGCTGAGAGTCTCACTACCACGTGATGATTGTTGTCTCTAAGGCAGAGGGAGCTCACGCTTCTGGTCAGCCAGAGTTGGGCCTGAGCACTTCTGAACTGCAAACTGGCTGCAAATTCATCAAATGTCTGGGGCAAGGGGAGAGGGAGGATGAGTGAGCGGGGATGGCGGGACTGGCAGAGTCTGCGCTGGCCTATAGTAGGCACTCAATAAATATTTATTGGTAGAAATATTTGTTGTAGAAGAGAGGAAATGGAGGCACAGAGATTTGATCTTCAACTTAGGCCTTTCCATCTGGCCCCTGAAGGGTCGTGTCTTCCCCCTCCTCGGCTTGGGAGCATCTCACTGCCTAGGGATGGACCCTCACTCCCCTCTCTGAGAAGAGAACGGGTGGGCTTTGTGGAGGAACGGGCATTCTCCAGACCAGACAGGGATGATGTCTTCTGCACAAACCTGAAGGTGGAGTCTGGAGAGAGAGCACAGCAGGTGCTTGCTTTGCATGTGGCTGTCTCGGGCTCAGTCCCTGGAACCCTAGATGGTACCTCAAGTCTCACCAGATGTGATCTCTGAGCACAGACCCAGGAGTAAGCCCTGAGCACCACTGGGTGTGGCCTCCAAATCAAACAAACACACACGTGGAAGTGGGCAACAGTTCCTTAGGATGGGAAAACACAGGAGGGGGTTGATGGATGTGGACTGTGAGGTGTCAGGGGCGTAGACCCGAACAGGGATGGCGTGGCAGACGTATGTTTGGCATTTCTGATATAGCTTATCACGGGCGCAGTTAGAATGAAGTGAGACCACGTTTGCAAAGGCGCTGTGTGAACTAGAGGAAAAAAAGTTTAAGTTATTACAGGATATTTTGGATGTGGGCAGATTATGCCAGAGCACAAGGCTCTATCTGCTAATTCTTCTTAAATTCATAGTCTCAAAACTCCTTTTTTTATTGCTGTTACGTTTGGGTCATACCTGGAAGTGCTCAGGGCTCACTCCTGGTTCTGTACTCAGGGATCATTCCTGGTGGGGGTTGGGGGAACTATATTGGGTGTCAGGGATGGAACCCAGGTCGGCCGTGTGCAAGGCAAGCACCCCACCTGCTGGACTATTGCTCCGGCCTCTCCAAACTGTTTTTAAAATTAGATTTCTAGTTTCCTTTCTTTTCATTCTCTCTCATTTGAGGGTCATTGTTCTCTTCTTATATGCTTCCTATTTGCTGTGGATTTTAATAAATAATTGTGACAGCTTTTGTTGTAACAAAACAAAGAGTTCTATAAACTCCTCTTTGTGGAAAAATTGGCTACTTTCTTTAGTGCTCAAGCAGTCTGGGAGCCAACACTGGAATACCTCTACTCAGCTTGGAGTTCTGGAGTTTCCTTCTATGAAATTTTGTGCTGTCTGTTGCCATTACTGAATCATACCAGTTCCTTACTGAATATTCATCACCTATATGCTTTCTTTTCTATGTCCTTAGATCATATCCTGAACAGGCTCGTAACACCTCACATTTAAGGAACTGCAGCTCTGTGGCTGTTTATCCTGCCCTTGGCCCACTTGGGTCCCACTTTTTTCCGGAGCCAGCCTCATAATTTTCCTCAGTCATTCTTATTTTCTTTCCCTTCTCCCCAGCAGTGCTCTCTCTGGTGCTTGGGGATCCCTCTCTGCAGGGCCCAGGGCGTCATATGGAGCTGGGCACAGCATGTATTCCAGCCCTTTGAGCTATTGCCCCAGCCCAAGAACTCATTGTATATTGCTGAAGTGATGAGGTAGGAATCAGAAAGCAATTGTTTAAAACGAGAATAAAGGAGCGACAGAGGTAATCTACACACCAGAGTCTGCTGTGTTCTCTGAATCCCCAAGTGGCTGAACAGAGGAGCAATTGGAACTAATGAGAGAATCAGTATTGTGGTCGGCTCCAAAATGAGTACATAAAACCAAGAATCTTGCATAACAGGAATGACGACGGAGAAAGCGGAGGACAAAGGAAGCATTCATGGCATTATGTCTGAGCTTCTCCACTTGGCCTGGGCGGACCAGGCAGGCGGAGAGAACTCAAGAAGCAAGCAAGTTTCCGCCCCCAAGGTCCTGACATCTTTCTAGGGAGCAAACACATACACAAACTAATAGAAATAAAAGGTTTCAAGGTGGAGGGTTCTGGCAGGCTGAGGGCAGAGGGTGGCAAAAAGAGCCTCCCTCAGCTAGATCCAGGGTGAACCTCAGGGCATGTGAGGGGGCCTTTAAGACTGGGTGGCGAAGGAGGAAGGAGGCACAGTGGGGCAGAGGGAGCCGCCAGGGTGACTCACGGTGTCTTGAATAACCTTGGTCTGTTCAGGGGGAAAAAAAGGCACAGTGTGCTGGAGGGGCGCCAGGTTGGGTGGAGAAAGGGGAGTGAGGGTAGAAGGGTGGGTTTAAGCTGGGGGAAGATCACGTTTCGTTCGATTTAAAAAAGGTCATTCTCGCCATTCTGTGGGAAACAAAAATAAGTCAGCAGGATTTTGGCGAAAACTTATGTGTGTGTGTATGTATATATATGTATATATACATACATACATGCATATACATATGTATGTCTTGGGTTTCTTTCCAACAGGCAAGGTCCCACGCTTTAATTCCAGTGGAAAGATAGCTGATTGGCTAGGCTATAGGCCCTCAGTCAACCAATGAACTGGCTGCCCGGCCCGGCTATCCCTGGAGGTGGACGGTCAGACAGGGTCCTCTTTGGGAGAAGGGCTCCTTGTGTCCAGCCTGTGCTGGCCGCTGCCAGTCACACACCCCAGTTCTGCATTTCCGCCAATCAGTGACCAGCTCTGACAGACACCAGGATTTTCATTATTATTCTTTAATAGAAATAATAATTTTTGATGAGGGGCTCATTCAGGCAGTGCTCAGAGACTATTTCCGTAGTGTCGTTCATCACTGTTGGCAGTGCCTGGGGGACTGTGGTGCCATGTATTGAGCCTGGGTCTCTGGAAGGCTCCAAGCCTGTGCACTAGCCGCTAATCCTCCTCCTTCTCCTTCTCCTCACAAGGGCTTCTCCTGGCTCTGCATTTGCTGTGGGGAGCGGGTCACACCTGGCAGGGCTGGGGGCCTCGTGAAGAGAGCCCAGGTCTTCATCAGGCTAAGTGTGAGCTCAGTCCAGAGAACAATCTTTTTTGGGGGGGTGGGGGGTCACACCCGGTGATGCACAGGGGTTACTCCTGGCTCATGCTCTCAGGAATTACTCCTGGCGGTGCTAGGGGGACCATATGGGATGCTGGGAATTGAACGTGGGTCGGCTGTGTGCAAGGCAAACACCGTACCCGCTGTACTCTCGCTCCAGCCCCCAGGGAGCCATCTTTTCAGCCCATACTATTCTTTGTCAAACTAGTGGTGAGCTGTGGCAGAAGCTGTTTCCCAGTGGCCAGCGGTGTGGTGAGCATGGCTGGAACCTGAGTGGGGCAGCAGATTCCTGGGTTCAGAGCTGGAAAATTGCAGCCCCTTAGTGCGTGGAACCCCAGCAAACAACACGAGGCTGGGAACATGGGCACTCCCCACGCCCCCCCAGTGCTTGGAGAGCTGTCCAGACAGGCTTCCTGCCCTTCAGTATGATTAAAAAGCAGAAGAGGGGCTGGAACAATAGCACAGCGGATAGGGCGTTTGCCTTGCACGTGGCTAACTTGAGTTCAATTCCCAGCATCCCATATGGTCCCCTGGGCACTACCAGGAGTGATTCCTGAGTGCAGAGCCAGTAGTAACTCCTGAGCATCACCATGTGTGACCCACTCCCCCCAAAAAGCAGAAGAGCCTTGGACTGAAAAGTTAGGAGAGGGGAAAAGGCTCTTGCCTTACAAACGGCTCACCCAGGTTTGAACCCC